GGTTCTTATTATTATATTGTTATCTATGTTTTAAGAAGTTCTTAAATTTTTGTTTCAGTTGGCATTCTTAAAATATGTGGGGTGGATTTGAACATTATGATTCTACACACTTGATAAAATGTATCAGGAATAATTTTGGTGGTAAACTTGCAAAATGGCATGATATCTATGAGACAGACTGTCAACACACTGAAGCTGGGCTATTTTATAAATTAAATGACCAATGAGTTATACCTGATAAAATTAAAAAGATGAAGGTAATGCATTGGTTATTATATTAGTATAACTTAAATTAGTATAAATAAAATAAATAATTTGTATTCAGCTTCTATATTCTCTATCGGAGCAAGTGTTGATTCAATGACCTGTATTTTTAATTATGTAACAAGTAGTTAATATAGTTTACACTTAAACTACAATAATGATTCTCTAATGAAGATAATTTTAAATATGATATCTCTTTTTGCAGGTAAAAAATTGTGTAAAAATATGTCTGCAGCTTTGTCTTACACTGCAAATTTCTGTGAGTATTAGATGAAATTTACTAACAGTTAATTGTTTTGAATCAAGTTTCATACAATTATTATATGAATATTTTAATTTGCAGCAACTTATGAGGATGTGCACAACATTAAGAAATGCAGCTGATGTTGTTTCATTCTTTGACCAATTATTTGATAGTGTCAATGGAGCATCGACAAACAAAAAAAGCATAAAGGAAAAGAGCTGTGACAGATAAGACACACCATCATTCTTTCTGGCCAAAGGCAATTGAAATTTTAGAAAAACTTAAATATGTGTATAAAAAGGTATGCAAGAATCAGTGCCCTCTTTCAAAAAAATTGTGATTACCTTGAAAAGTTTCATAAGGTTGTGCCACTAAAAAAACGTAGCTAGGAATTGCTGAGAATGCAGAATGAAGCTGTGAAAAATATAATAAGTTAAAAAATAAATTGTTCAATAAATAATATTGGAAAAATGTGTGTTTCATTTACGTGGTCATTTTTCCTTTTTTGTTTTAATACAACAATAATATTAAGCTAGACTTATCAGTCTGCTTTATTATTATTGTTGTATTAAAACAAAAAAGGAATTTAAATTAAAGTAAAAATAATGTGGAAACTAGGAAGACGGCTAGGTACCTACCCAAAACAGGGCTGTATAGCTAAATGCCTTTGCCGATAGTAGATCTATATATTTAAAACGAATGAAGCTGTCATGTATCACTGGCTCCCAATCACGTTCTACGAAGAAATTTTTTGTTAGGAAGTTGGTCGTCTGATACCTACTAAGTCTGTGGGCGGGATTCACGGCCCGTCAACTCCGTACAAGAAACCAATCGCGTAGGGGTCCAGTGATGTATGACATTTCCACACACCCCTCACCCCTGTCAGTAGATGGAGACATGACACCTGACAGAAACTGTCATTACAACAAAGAGTAAAGATACTAATGTTTTAATTAATCTTTAATTCATTTCATTTTTATTTTACATGTTGGAATTAATTTATTCACTTCATATTGGCAAAATTGTGTGAATGCGCAGATATGCCATTAATAAAAGAAGAAGGAGACTAAAGTATGTACCTACATATCAGGGAATTACAAGTGATTGAGTAAAATTTCGTTTGTGCTTACCCTCTTCGCTTTATTTGTAATATAAACTCCTTTTTTCGAAGTATTTTTCTTTGTAGAAGATGCCTAGGATATTGGTGTGTTGTGTTATGGTTGTGTTACACGCATTATTAAAGTACGAACAGGATGCTATTCTTTGTAAAATTCTAGTGAACGAGAAAAGATTCTCCAAGTGGTTACAATGTCTTAGTGCTGTGTGTGATACTGAAAATTTGAATCCAGGTAGAAGTGTCATTTGTAGCAAACACGTTGTACCAAGATTCATTACTCCAAAATCACGACTCTTGGGTGACGCACATCCATCATTGTTTAATGATGATGGGCTCTCAATCAGCCTACCCTCTTCAAGCAATACTGGTAAGGCTGGTTTAATCTGCTATTACCTTTAGATAATGTAATTAAAATGATATGTATCTTCACTTTATGTTGTGTTTTGGAATACCGCTATTCTTCATTAGATTTTTTTGTTATTACAGAAATTATATTCAATTCGGAACACAGCTATGCAAGAAAAAGTCATGTTGACCACACATATTAGAAAGTGGAACTGAACAGAGGTTTGTTTTTAATTTATTTTATTTAGATAACAAAGTTCATGCTGCAGTTTTGGTGTATTTTAACATAGATTTCTGCTTTAAAAAAGTCTAGTAGATCTGTCTTTCTTACACAAATAAAGAAAAATTACATTAAGTTATTTAACTCTAGCGGGCATGCTAGAAGTGATTTTGATCAGAGAAAAAATTTATAATATAAATAACATATTTCTAATATCATCTAAGATTAGGCATATCCTGTTTTTTAATCTTACAAACATAATCAATATTGATTTCATAGGTGGTGTAATTTTCAAAGAACAAATTGAGACTCCTGTGTCTGCAGCCACTGAGTTTACTCAATTAGTTGCTTGTTCTGGAGATTAAAATATGACACAAACTAAATTATCTGGTAAGACCTGTCTCTTTCTTTAGTGTATCTTTATTTCAATCAAATAGTAGTTCTAATAGAGAAATTCACTGAATACTTTTGATGTTATAGACCCTGTGCAATGTACCCAAACAAAAAGGAAAAGGCTTATTACCAAATAAAGCCAATTGTCACCTTTATACCAGAGAATTTATGAAGAATATAACAAGCCAAAGATGTAGCTGAACTTTCATAAAAAAGTTAAGAATACTTAAATACCTTTAAGTTTTGTAAAAAGTTATCATTTGAAAAGTTCACACAAAAAATGAACACAGTTGCAAAAAATATTTTTGAAATGCAAGTGAGCATGTGCTCTAAAAATAAACATGAGAGGTGATTCACTACCGAAGAAAAGATAATTGCTTTATCAATATCAAAGCAGAGTCCAAAATTTTATAGATTTTTAAGCAAAATTTTTTATTTTATCATCCAAAACCACACTGAATACTATGATTGGAAAATTGATCATAGAACCAGGCTTCATGTAAGTGGTAAATATATTCCATATAAGGTTTTTCATACTACTTTTATGACTTTTTGTATTACTACTAAATAATAATATGTACCTAACTATTTGAATTTACTTTTTCAGGTGGACAAATGAAACTCCAAAAAAATATGCTCCATTATATTTGATGAGATGTCATTAGAAACAGCACTCTTCGTATAATAAAAGTAATAAGGATTAAAGATAACATTAATGGATTTGTAGAACACCAAGAAAAGAAAGTGAATTTTGCAGATCATACTCTTGTTTCTATGTTGGTGCTGTTTACAAGTGGCAACAGCCTTTATGTTTCTATTTCTGTCAAGGAGCTACATCTACTGTAAACATCAAGAATATTTTAAAGTCAGTAGTAGAAAAAGTTATTGAATTGGACCTTAATCCCATCGCAATAATATATGACCAAGGCTCAGCTTTCCAATCAGCACTCAAAAATCTAAAAGAAGACACTAAGTGTGATCAAAGTTTAAAATGAAATCACAGGTTGGTACAGAGAATTATATTTATATGAAAGAAAACTAATAGATTTAATGAAAGCAGTGAAGGTTCTTATTATTATATTGTTATCTATGTTTTAAGAAGTTCTTAAATTTTTGTTTCAGTTGGCATTCTTAAAATATGTGGGGTGGATTTGAACATTATGATTCTACACACTTGATAAAATGTATCAGGAATAATTTTGGTGGTAAACTTGCAAAATGGCATGATATCTATGAGACAGACTGTCAACACACTGAAGCTGGGCTATTTTATAAATTAAATGACCAATGAGTTATACCTGATAAAATTAAAAAGATGAAGGTAATGCATTGGTTATTATATTAGTATAACTTAAATTAGTATAAATAAAATAAATAATTTGTATTCAGCTTCTATATTCTCTATCGGAGCAAGTGTTGATTCAATGACCTGTATTTTTAATTATGTAACAAGTAGTTAATATAGTTTACACTTAAACTACAATAATGATTCTCTAATGAAGATAATTTTAAATATGATATCTCTTTTTGCAGGTAAAAAATTGTGTAAAAATATGTCTGCAGCTTTGTCTTACACTGCAAATTTCTGTGAGTATTAGATGAAATTTACTAACAGTTAATTGTTTTGAATCAAGTTTCATACAATTATTATATGAATATTTTAATTTGCAGCAACTTATGAGGATGTGCACAACATTAAGAAATGCAGCTGATGTTGTTTCATTCTTTGACCAATTATTTGATAGTGTCAATGGAGCATCGACAAACAAAAAAAGCATAAAGGAAAAGAGCTGTGACAGATAAGACACACCATCATTCTTTCTGGCCAAAGGCAATTGAAATTTTAGAAAAACTTAAATATGTGTATAAAAAGGTATGCAAGAATCAGTGCCCTCTTTCAAAAAAATTGTGATTACCTTGAAAAGTTTCATAAGGTTGTGCCACTAAAAAAACGTAGCTAGGAATTGCTGAGAATGCAGAATGAAGCTGTGAAAAATATAATAAGTTAAAAAATAAATTGTTCAATAAATAATATTGGAAAAATGTGTGTTTCATTTACGTGGTCATTTTTCCTTTTTTTGTTTTAATACAACAATAATATTAAGCTAGACTTATCAGTCTGCTTTATTATTATTGTTGTATTAAAACAAAAAAGGAATTTAATTAAAGTAAAAATAATGTGGAAACTAGGAAGACGGCTAGGTACCTACCCAAAACAGGGCTGTATAGCTAAATGCCTTTGCCGATAGTAGATCTATATATTTAAAACGAATGAAGCTGTCATGTATCACTGGCTCCCAATCACGTTCTACGAAGAAATTTTTTGTTAGGAAGTTGGTCGTCTGATACCTACTAAGTCTGTGGCGGGATTCTTGATCCAGCTTGCAACGAGGTAGGACGGAAAAAGTGTTGTTGGTTGATTGTGGAGTTTTTCTACGAACAAGGAGCAATAAAAGTGTAATTACAAGGTAACCATGTGTTTTTATTATAAGAACAATCTCAATATAGCTTATTGAAGGATTAACCTTACATTAATTTAATTTATTTCTTGCAATCATTATTTCGCGTTAGGTAAACTTAAATTATAGACAAAATTCGCATTCCTCGCTTATGTAGTGCTCATATACTGCAAAATTACAATATTTACACCAAAAGTAACTTGTTCGCAACAATCGTCTTATATTTTGATTCTCATTATGAAGAATGAAATGTGGTGGTGCAGTCATGTTTGTTTGCATATTGCAGTTGAAACATTTATTTCGCTTGATAAAATGAGTTATGTTCCACGGCCATTTGCATTCGTGTGCACATAAATTGTAGTCATTATAATTTAAATATTTATCAACATCTATTATGACACCCATGTTTCTACAACGAAATAATAAGCCATTAATACGTACATATTTCTAAAATGTAAAACCTATACAGTAAGAACATAAAAATATCGATGGATTCTGTATGTTTTTATCCAAAAACTTTTATTAATGACGAAACATCCCACGCGTAGATCTACGTTCCGGCAATTCCACAAGTGAATATTTTTGGAACATCCCGTAGATAATAATTTTATATGGAAAATGAAAAACAACCAAAAAAATTATTCCACGTGTATTTACATCAATTGTTATGTAATATTTCTATCCCTAATTATGTTTTGTAATTTATAATGTGATAATTTCATTAAATTGAGAGTTATATTCGACTCGACAGGCTTCTGTAGGAAACAAATTTTCTGTCTCAGATTTTTTGTTAAATACTTATAATTGTAGAGCTTAATGGACTTTCAGCTATAAAAATATATCAAAAATACATGAAAACACATAAGAACTTAATAAATACTTACTTTTTCCACGGAAATTAGCACAAAACTCTTTCAAAAACACGACACCTTGGGGAGCTTATTTGAATCAAACGGCACAGAGAAAAAATAAATTGAATGACTTTTTTGGATTCATTCGTACATTGGCTCACTCACTCACCGCGATGCAAACTCGTTTAGACTCTATGAAACGGTCAAAAAGTTACTTTTCCACAGATATCGTAAAAGTGTATCTACTCTCCGGCATACTACTGTAACCTTTTTTAGGCGTAGATCTACGATCCGGCATATCAGAGGTTAAACACCTTTCATTTGAAGACAGAACTCACAAACTTTTTGTAGGCGATTTCAAACTATAAAACAAACATAACAAAAAAAATCGAAAAACTCAAAAACTGCAACGGAGGCGGACTTAAAACCCCACCGCCCCGACTCCACTAGCTACTCGTGACCTCGCCGGGCTGCGAGCAGCCCGGGGCAACCAAGCGAAAGCTTCTATTCTGAAACGAAGGCGGACTTAAAACCCCATCGCGTCGTGAATTGATCTATTCTAATATCTGGCCACGACATCGGTTCCCTTTTCATCTAATAAATAATTCTTACATATATAATGTAATGTAATAATGCATTGATTAATTAATGATAGTAACACTGATGGAAATATATGTTTGATTGTTTTTTAATATTATACAGTAATTTACTAATAAATAAGAATAAGAGAATAAAAGACAAAACTTATTTTAAGTATCTATATAAAATTTATTTTAAGTTTTGCTTGCATTTTTCGACTGAATATTCCTTTTTCTATTAAGTGTCAACTGGCAACACTTTTTCTTTGATGTACGATGCTTTGTGTCCTTTAACACCCTTTATTTGAAGATAGAACTTACTGACCTTTTCTGCGCATTTTCAAACTGTAAACCCGACATAACAATAGTCGCGGACTTGAACCCCCACCGCCCCGATTCCACCAGCCACTCGTTACCTCCCCGGGCTGCTGGCAGCCCGGGGCAACCAAGCGAAGGCTAGTGTATGTGATACGCGTGCTGGACTCAAGTAGTCCAGCACGCGTAGCATGACAAATTGACATTGACACCTTTCTCGGGTACGCCCATACTATATCTTACTCTCGACCCGAGAAACTGACAAATGAGTGTAGACAAAGCGTTTCTCGAGTTTGTCGTGCTATGTGGATTGGTGAGTGTTGTATATAGTACACTAACTTTTGCCTGCAACTTCACCTTTCCCTAATTTACCCCCACTCACTGACTCATTCACTCACTCCTTGCTTTTTTCGGGTAGAAAGAGTGGGAAAAAGATGTTTTCATGTATGGAGAGTGACAATATTGTTTTTGATCGAGTTGAAGTGGTATTGCTGTGCAGCCGAAAAACAAAATGGCGACGAGTTATTTTTTTAATTTTTAAGTATGATCTACGGTTACGATATTCGAAATGGTTGTAGATTTGGCTAAAAAATGACAATGAAAAAGGATTTGATTAAAAAAACAAAATGGCGGCCGAGATATTTCACCTGGAAATTTGGCATTTTTCGACCTCTGATCGGCCAATCGTCGTTTCTTTTGTGGTGGGTTTGGAGAGGGGATTTTTACGCTGGCGACTCGGAATTATAGTCGATTTTCACGTACGGGGAGTTTTCGCTTGCGAGTCAATATAGCGGCGACGGTGGCGGCCATTTTGTTTCGGCAATGAAAAATCGCCATTTTCCAGTGAGATTTTCTCCAAGATGGCGGCGTCGAACGGGTTCGCGTCGTACGGGGCGGTCGTGAGGCTCGGTAGGATCTTTCTACATCACTACCGATTTCTACCATTTTCGTAGTAGTGTAGGAGATTTTGGGAGAAAAGTGAAGTTTCGATATACGCACTTTTCGCGGAAAACACACTCGATGCGGTGTGGCGCCGGGGGAGCCCTATGACTTTTGGTAATTTTCGTTTCCACGAGCTGACAACCCTGGGCTCCACGGTAGAAAACGGTGTTTTTCGACATGCCCATATAACCCGAATTGTTTGGGAACCTGGGTGGCCAGCGGAGAAAATCTGTGAATGAGGTCCCTTGCCTGATATAGTCGTGACTATGGGAAAATAATGAAACTCGGAAAAATCAATATGGCGGCGCCGGCAGCGGCCATATTGTGATTTTTTCACTTTTTCGAAAAATTCAAACGCACTTTTAGCCTACTTGGCAACATTAGAGCTCTTCGCCTGGTATGGACTGGTTATGAGTCTCCGCTGTTTCTTTCGAATGACGTAAAATTTTTCCCCGATTTTAGGGTAATTTCGGAGATTTACCCCAAAAAGGTGAAAAGTAGAAGGAGCCGTTTGGGAATTTCAAAAATGCTTTTCCTCGACGGAGGGCACTTCCAGAAATGACATTTGGCCATTTTCGTCGTCGTCACCTGGCAACCCTGGTATATGTGGCGATTTGAAAAATTTCACCCATTTTTTACTTTGTCGACTCTAGCGCTGTCGGTATTGCCATTAGGAAAATGGTACAAAGTGCATCGGATGCGCTATCGAGTTGGCCATACCGGTGCGGAGCCGGATTTTCAAAATTCAAGATGGCGGCCAAACCAGCGGCCGTTTTATCCGAAAAATTGGGTATTGTCACCACGTCGAGCCGATTTTGACGCACTTGGCGACATTTGTCAGACTACTTCCGGGGAAACAATTATCAGGCAAGTAGCTGAGGTGTTGCCAGGTGAAAAAAAACTTGAAAATTTTTGATACTTTATGAGATTTTTGGGGAAACACTTTTTGTCGTATTTTGAATTTTTTTCGATGCAAATATTTTAATTTTAACTTTTCAAGACACCCAATGGAAAAAATAGAACGATCGACTGGCAACACTGAGACCAAACAACGTATGAAATTCAACCTCGATTTTGACCGACTTGGCAACCCCGCAGGTATTTGGCATGTATGAAGCGATTGTGCATCTCTATAGATTCTTTCACGTGGTGGAAAAAAATTATCCTATTTTAGGGTAGTTTTTGAGATTTACCCCAAAAACTATAACTGTCAAAGGCACAATTTTAAAACTTGAAAATTGGTATCCGTCGATGAAGGGCATTTTCATCGTCTACACCTGGCAACCCCGGCAGCTACGGCGGGTTGAAAGTTCAATGCCCACTATTCACATTTTGGACTCTAGCTCAGTCTCTATCGCCGCTAGGAAAATAAGAAAAACTGCGTTGGATGCGCCAATAAGTGGGCTACATAGGTCTTAGGTTGAATTTTCAAAATTCAAGATGGCGGCTTTAATAGCGGCCATTGTGTTAATAATAAAAAAAAATATGCAAAAGTTTTACTGTTTTTATAAGACTTGGCTTGATTGATAAAGTATGTATTTTAGATGGAATAATTTGAGTGATTTACTGGCAACATTGAGAGAAGTAACCGTATAAAATTTATATTTCATTTTGACAGATATGGTAACCCCGTAGCTTTTTAGCATGTATGGAGCGATTGTGTGTATTTGCTGACATTTCCTTACATAGTGAAATAAAATTACCCGATTTTAGGGTAGTTTTTGAGATTTACCCCAAAAATTGTAAATGTCAAAGAAACAATTTTAGAATTTGTAAAAAATATAAAAACCTGCACAATCCCACTCATCGTTGTAATTTGCTGCCACTTTTTGATGTTAACTATCAATCTTTAATATTATGTCCAAATATTATTTTAAAGTCTATTAATAAAGATCCTACAGCCAACTATAATTTTAAATATACCATTGACTGTGAATATAAAGATCATCATCATATTTTTACTGATGCTTCAAAAAACAATAAATCCGGCAATGTAGGCATAGGTGTTTATCATTCACAATACAATATTGTTCAAAAAATTCAACTTCCACCCGAATCCTCTGTTTTCACAGGTGAATGTTATGGACTTTTAAAGGCCCTGGAATATGTTATTATTATGAAGCTTAAGAAAACAATTGTATTCTGTGACTCAATGAGCGCTCTCCAGACTGTTGGTAAATTTCCTTTTCGAAAGAAAACATATTATCCTGTTATTTCTGAAATAAGAAAATTACTTTATAAGTGCCATGTTAACAATTACCACATCCAATTTATGTGGATCCCAAGTCATTGCGGTATAGATGGTAATGAGATAGCTGATAGATTAGCGAATGAGGCCGTGAACTGTGGTGACATGCATCCCTATAAAAATTTTAGCCATGACCTCTTGTCTATAGCCAAGACTGACCTTCATAATGCCTGGTGTAATATTTGGGAAAATAGTTCAAGTAAAAAAGGTAAATTTTATGCTTCTATTCAACCACACATTTCCATTAAACCATGGTACCGTACTACTGATTACGGAAGAAAGGCCATCTCAGTAATTATTCGAATGCGACTAGGACATGTTTGCACACCTGATCATCTCTCTAGACTTGGTATTATTAACAACAATATTTGTGACTGCGGTAAGGGTATTATTGGCGAACTAAATCATATGCTTTTTGCTTGTTTAAAGTATGATCGCTCTTTCTTTTTAAATGACCTAATATCCATTAAAATCCCTTTCCCAACTTCCGTATCCTCTTTGCTTGCTACGAATAACCCATCTGTATATAAATCACTAGCAAAATTTATTATTTTCAACAATATTAAACTGTAATATAATTTTTTTCTATCATCCCTTTGCCTTATGTTATAATAATATCCTTCATCTG